CAGTGAAACTGAAAGTGTCCTGGGTTAAAAGCTCTATTCCTGTCAGATTACTATGTTTGTCTTTCTCCTTTGTCTTTTCTTCTGTGTTCACACTGCCACGCCCAGGAAAGTCAGCTGCTTTGATTTAAAGTTCAGACCTGTGGGCTGGGGATATAGCTCAGCAGCACAGCGCCTGCCTGGCAAGCGTGAGGCCCTGAGTTTGATTCCTGGTACCAGTAAATAAATAAATAAGTAAAGTTAAGATCCATCACGTGGCCTCCTTTAAGTTACTTAGCTGGCGTTTACTCTTGAGCCAAGCAGAGTCACCAGTGTATGCATTTTCCCTTGAACATGGTGGATTGACTGAAACTCAGCGTCCATGGTAACTGAAGACTTGCAGTGACCGAGGATGGGGAAGGTACTTCCTTCCCACACGGGAGGGGCACATCTGTCCACTGGTCCCTGTCCCAGACACAGGCAAGTGGCCAGCAGAGCTGCTCAAGGTCTGAGTACCAGGGTGAGAGCATGGCTCTGTCTGGAGGCTGTGGGCTACTGCCAGAGGAAGCAAGTTTCATTCTGGAAAGGGGTGTCCAGGGTCCTCATGGGCAAGGGTGATAAGAGCCAGGCAAACCAACCGAAAGTACCTGCGGTGGGGAGAAGTGGGTAAGAGGCCCGAGGTGGCTCAAACCCACCAGAGTCAGTGCTGTTCCCGAGTGTCGCTGGTGGCTGCTTGGACACAGCGTGAATGAAGCCCCCTCAGGCTTTGTGAAGAGACTCACAGTAACTGCTGAGAAGCCCCAGGATGTCAAGAAACAGAAAACTCTGAAAAGAGCCTACGGAGCTCAGTGTGTATCGCAGGGACCTTGTTTTCTTCTGGTTAACTTACAAGTGTACTGTGGTGCCATGAAGCACTGGCGGGTATTTGAGAAGTTGGGAATAATTTGAGTTCATCCAGAGAGTAAGCATATGCATGGGGGCTCGCCTTGGATGTGCTGGTCTAGGCAGCAGTGTGTCCTCCCAGCATGCAGCACTGTGTTCGACAACGCTGGCCGCAGCTGGAATGCGAGTTCCACGTCCCTGGTGCCTGGTGTCAGTGCAGGGCTGAGCTCTGGGTGACACAGAGAGACAGGACATGATCAGTTTCCCCTTAGCGTTTCGGGGTGGGCCCAAGAATTCCCATCTGCAGGAGGAAAGCATGCAGGTATTTACAGGCACATGGGAAGACCCAAAGGCTGTGGAGCTGAGCCCTGAGTATGGAGTCACGTGGGAGAAGCAGCTGTGGGAAAGTGGGCAGAGGAAGGCACCTGGTACTGTGGCCTAGTTGTCCACAGCCATTTCTCTCGGCCTGGCCTCACCATCTCTGGTGACAGAAGTCCTTCCTGCTGGTACAGGGAGGGCTTTGAGGAAGACGGGAGGTTAAGGCACTCCTTTGCACCTGCTATTCATAAGTGCTGTGAGCTCCCTACTGTCCCCTAACCCAGGTGCGATATCCTGGAGTGTCGTGACCCTTGCTGGCCAGCAGAGAGTGACCTGCAGGCTCATCTCTGTCTTGTGCTTTCTGCTGCTGTGCCAGCCTAGGAACTTGCCTGGCACCATGCTGAGCTGGATTATGCCACATCCATGGAATTCTTTTTCCCTGCTTTTATTTACTTTTCATTAGGCCTTACAGGAAGGCTGCTTCATAATTTGGCACAAACACACTGCTGTTTCCAAGGCCTGAGTTCCTTTTCCCAGATTGCCCGGTTTTGTTTAGTTTGTCCCTTGTATCCCAGCTACTCAGGAGGCTGAGGCAGGAAGATTGCAATTTGCATTTAAGGCTGGCATAGGCAACTTTTAGCAAGGCCCTATTGATCTCAGAATAGGAATTTATGAAAGGGCTGGGGATATGGCTCAGTGCCTGGCACGCAAAAGGCCCTGTGTTTAATCAGTCTTCACTGCTGTAAAAGGGGAAAAAAACACGTAAATTTCTAAAACCATTTTAGAAAGTAGTTTGGTGCTATGTGGTAAAGTTGGAGGTTGCTCAGAGTTGTGTGTTTTGTAGTAGCCCCAGATGAGGAAATAACCTAGACATCCACCAGCAGGAGCCTGGATAGATGAATGGTGGTGATTCGCTCACATGTGAACCATCAGTTCAGAGACAGAATCCACATAACGCAGCTGCCTTGTAAGCAAAGCACTGGTGGGAGAGGCAGGCGCAGGGGGCTGGGCTTGTGATTCCCCTGGGCTAGAGGAGCAAGCTGGCAGTGTTGCCCAGTGTGGACTTGGGACTGGGCCACGTGGGGACGGGGTATGGTGACCCCAGGGAGGGGCTTTCCAGCTCAGGTGACATCTGCAGGTGTCTACTTCTGTGTGTGTGTGGGTGAGAAACAGTGTGTTTATGTTTCGTGTGCTAAGAGGTGAAAGTGTTTAATCAGAGGCTGTCTTGTTAGTGTGCGAGAGGTCTGGTTTGACCTGGGTAGAGATGAACTCATGATCCGTGAGGATGTTGGTAATGGAGTGTTTCCGGATGAAGAGGACCCTTGGAATAATTATTGTTGGCCCGAGCTGTGTTTTCTAATGTGAAAGCAGGAATTCTCTGTTTATGAAGAAAAATGAGCTTTTCACAGCTTGTATATAAATCAATTGCTGAGGTCCTGGGAGAGTGTGTCACTTCGAGCCCATACTCATTGATTTATTACCGACCGTCTGTTGTCCTCCTGTTAATCAGCCTTTTGTTTATTGGGTTTGCTGAATGTAGGGCAGAGCCATGCACTGGAGTGTGGAGACCTGGTGATCGGTGGGCAGCAGCCGCAGAGCCCCGGGTCTTGGTGGTGGGCCCCCCATCCCGGGGCTGGCTGCTGCTTGGAGAGGCTCTGCTCCCATGCATAAGGCTTCTAAGATGCTCTTTTGGAGTATAGTCAGCTCTTCTCTGAAGCACAGCAGTTAAAATTTATGCAAGCAAATCTGTAAGGTGGATAATGTCTATATGACTGATAATAAAAATACGGGTAAATTTAAAAATCACTAAGCATGAAGGCTCAGATTTCTAGGGTCAAGTATGTGTAGGCAGAGGCAAGTGATGTTCAGTCTCAGAGGGGAGTGATGGTTCACTGAGACATCTCAGAGGCATTTTGAGAAAGTGTATGTGTCTGTGTGTGCAGCATGTGTGTGCACAGTGGCATCTCTGAAGGTGTCTGTGAGCGGCATGTGTGGTATGCGCAGGCGTGAGTCCTGTGGCTAGGCCCAAGCCGGCCGTTACAGAGGCCCCTCAGTGAAGGGCCACTGTGTCAGCATCAACCACCTCTGGGCAAAGGAGGTTAGGGAGGGGTTTCCTGCACCTGGAGCCAGCCTTGTGCTGCCAGTACGGCCAGGTGGGCAGGTGTTCCCTGTGCTCATCGTCGTGGGTCCTTCGGGAGGGGGAAGCAAGTATTCATTCATAGCAGGGTTACCTGTGTTTGTACAGTGGAGACGGGGAGGAGCTGTGCCCTGAGGATGAAGGGCTTGTCCACCTACTGCAGCTGGATGGAGCAGGTCTTCTGCATACACGTTTATTAGTGTACAAAGAATCCCCCCGATGCACCTGACCTGGCTCTTGGGGGCCCCTTATCTGCTCTGGGAGATGCCTTTGTGACACTGGTGAACGGCTCCCGAGTATGAGATGTTCATCTTCCCCACCGAGCCTCCCCACGGGTGTCACCGGGTCCACATTGCTGTGGGGAAGCTGAGGCACAGGGCTGTGGGGCCCTTGGACCACCGTGTCGCAGATGCTGCAGGCCATGTTTTGTGGGAGAACAGATTTTCAGCATCTTTGCTCTTTGTTTCCAAGGATTAACACTTCATGTGATTGATTCCTGTGTGTCGGGCAGTCTCAGGTTGTGTTACCCACATGGGCATTTGTGCAAACAGGGCTGTGTTGCTCTGGAAGGCTGCTGATGTGTCCCTCTGTTGCCAGAGGGCTTGGCCACCTGACTGGCTGCCACCTGATAGGCTGTCTCCACCCTGCCCTGTAGTTTAGGTGAGGACTTGAAAACGCTAGAATTCTAATGTTTCCCAACAATGAGTTCCCGAGACTTTAAGACGACAATGAAAATCTCTCCAGCTGTCACAATCCCAGCCCAAGGGCCTTTTAAATTCTTAATATCTTAAAGTACAATTTTGGACTTTAGGATTAGAGTTCAGGTCCTGCCTGGTTCTGCAGTGTAGAAGCTTGAAAGAGTTCCAGTAACTAGAAGCACAGGGGCTGTGCTTGGGCGCTCTGAGTCCCTTCCGAATTGCAGCCCCAGCTGCAGACACTGCCAAGGATTACTCTCCCACGTGAGCCCACCTGGAGCTCCTGTGTTAGAGGGACCATGGTGCCAAACCAAGGGTCTGCATATACATTTGTCATCTGAGTCAGTGAAAGATTTACTAATTTGTATTTATTAAGATATCCCCATGGGAGTAGTTTATGATTGAATTTAATTTGTTGTAGTCATTTAGCATATTAATTTCAAGGCATTTATACAATCAGGACTGCTGGCACACACCTATAACCCCAACTACCAAAAAGCTGAGGCAGGAGCATCACAAGTTCGAGGCCAGACAAGAGAGCTCAGTGAGACCTTGTCTCAAACTCTATAAAGAAATAGGTGTGTGTGTGTGTGTGTGTGTGTGTGTGTGTATGTATGTGTGTGTGTGTGTGTGTGTGTGTCGGGATCTGTGGAGTGTAACTCAGTGGTAGAGCCCCCCAGGGATCAATCTGCAGTACCTCAAAAAAAAAAAAAAAAAAAAAAAAAAAGACAAACCAAACCCAAGGGCATTTCATAGTCATTCCCTCTTTTAAAGCATGCATTTTATTTTGAGGTAACTGTGCAGGGCCAGGCACCACTTTGCCAGTCCCTGGGAAAGTGTCCAGGCTGTCAACTCTGTGCTTGAGGTGACCGTAAGTTCTGGTCATTGGACTTTCCAGACCCTGTGTCCTCTGAGAGGGAGGCCCGGACCAGCATGCTTGTCCTGCCTCGCGACTGAGGGCGCGTCTTTCTCTTCCTGGCTTTCGGCTGCAGGAGAAGTCACTTGTCTTCGAGTCAGCGTGGAAGAAGGAGAAGGACATAGTTTGCAAGGAGATCGAGAAGCTGCGTGCATCCATCCAGACCCTGTGCAAGAGCACGCTGCCGCTGGGGAAGATCATGGACTACCTGCAGGAGGACGCGGACGCCATGCAGCACGAGCTGCAGCTATGGCGCAGCGAGAACCGGCAGCACGCAGAAGCGCTGCAGAAGGAGCAGAGGTGGGTCCGTGGGGAGTGGTGGTGGGACGCGTGGGAGACGGGCGTGGGGGGCTGCAGGCGGCAGCGGCGCAGGGGAAGCCCCGCAGAGCACCGCCCTCGGCCCTCTCTCCAGTCCCCTCTATGGGGAGAATGGATGGCTGTCCCTCATCCGCTGCAGTCCTGTGCGCATGCGCCATCCCTGCAGCTCTGTAACTGGTCAGGCTTTGGAAGTATTTTCATGTTTACTGTAGAGGAAATGCTGATAAGCCCATCTAACACTGCAGCTTCAAACAAACATACAGCCACTAAAGAGGGTAACTTATCTGAGGCAAGTGTTTGATATCCTATGTTCATAGTTATTTGATCTGTAACTGTGTAACCATATCAACTCTTTTATTTTTTATTTTTTCATTTTTATTTTTTTTTTTTTACCATATCATTAAGTGTTTAAAGTCCCTTAAAATGTAAAATGGACAACCTGAAGGAAGCTAGGAAATTACCAGGAACTCACTGGTGCCTAGTGATCACTGGGTTTAAGTGGTAGGGAAAATCGTGCCGGGCGTTCCCTGCAACAGGTATTGCTTTACGGTAGGACAGTTGAGAACTATTGCTCTTATATTTTAGTTTTAATTTTAATTTGTGGACTTTAAAAACCTAAAGGGGATAGGCTATTTTGATTTGCTCTTTCCTGGGTAAATTTCGACTTCGTGCCGAGTTCAGGCCAACAGCTGCAGGGTGTCTGGTCACTGCACTGCCCAGTGAGCCGCAGAGCCCTGAGGGCGCAGGTGGAGGGCCTGTGCAGGCCGTGGCCTGCAGCTCTTTGCTGTCCCTGGCTGAGTGTGTAGTGGGAGGGCTTCACACCCATCAATGAAGGAGCAGTAGCTTCTTTTTAAGTGAGTCTTATGTTAGACTTCCCTTTGGGTCATAGAAACCTGGAGTCAGCTTTGTGCGGGTCGGCTGGCCTCCCTGTCCTCTCAGGACCGTAGCAGGTTTGCGTTGCGCCCTCCTGCTTGGCCACAGCTGGCATTCTGCCCTGGCTGTCTTGGGAGTCACAGTTAAGAAGTGGGGTCTGCTGGGCCTTGAGACTGATGCTTCCCCTGGTCTCCTGGCAGCATCACGGACAGTGCTGTGGAGCCCCTGAAGGCGGAGCTGGCCGAGCTGGAGCAGCAGGTCAGAGACCAGCAAGACAAGATCTGTGCTATGAAGGCCAACATCCTTCGGAATGAAGAGAAAATTCAGAAAATGGTGTATAGTGTCACTCTGACATCTCGGAGGTGAATGCTGCACTGGCCGGTCCCGCTGGTATGACCCCAGAGGAAGGCGGCAGGTGAGGACCTGTTCCCTGCACCACTGCCCGGCTGGGAAGGCCTCGCACATTAAAGACTGTTTGCTGACCCCTTCCGACTGGGACCTTGCTTGTCATAAACAGCCTGTGTGTCCACTGCCCATCCCCATCCTTGGGCTGTTTCCGCTGCAGCTCGGCCCCTGGGCCCGAGTCCTTTCGATCTGCAGTGTGGGCGGGCGTCTCCCAGGTAGAGTGGGCCTGGAATGATGAAGCTAGACCAATGCCTTCCCCTCGAAGGGCATTCCTGTCAGCGGTACCCTCGCCAGGTCCCCGTGAGCCACGGTCGGCTGAGCCTGCCCTGTGTCATGTGCACTGCTCCTGTAATTGGCGAAGTCCCCAGCTGGTGCCTGTGTCCCAGGCCTCTCAGGCCACAGATGGGCTGTGGAGGTGTCTGGGTGGCCTTCCTGAGCATCGTAAATTTGAGCTATCACAAGCTCCTTCCTCACTTTCAGCACTGTGCCTGGGGTCCCCCAGTCCACACCAGCAGAGCCCCCAAATGTCCTTCCTGTTGCTCTGCATGGGTGTTCCCGTGGGTGGCTCCAGAGAAGCCACTTGGGAGAGATGGCAAAGGAGGCACCGGATGACATTTTTTGATGTAACCCATTTTTTTGGAAAATGTTTTTTAAAGCAAAGCTTTTTTTAAAAACATGGTTTATACTCAGTTTTTCACTTTCATGTAATACTGTAAATATTTGTTAAGGTCTTAAGTTATTGTGTGAAGGCTTCCACTATGTTTGGAGACACACGTGGGGGTCCTCAGGCCTGGGTCCTGGCCCTCTTCTTTCTGGCTACCGTATTTCTGACTGTGAACTCAGGGCACCATGGTGAGTGTGAGGGTCGCCTGAGAGAGCTGGGTCCTCTAAGGTTAGCACAAATGGCTCAGTTTGATTTTTCTTAACATGTTCCTCAAATAAGCCCGTTATTGAGGAAGTATAGGGTCTTTAAACTGATCAAGGCCAGAGCGCCGCTGAGATCTGTTGTTTGGAGACATTGGTGTTTTCTTTTTCCCTTCTGTAAGCACCACACATTTCTGTCTGATCAGATTACACTAACACAGCTCAGGCAGGGAGGACTGTTAGCTAACCAGTCCTCCTGCTATTTATAGCTCTTTTCTACCGAATTGAATGACTTAGCCATAAGCCTGCAGTGGACCCCAAGCTGAGATACATACCTTTTATGAATTTGTGTATATGAATACATTTTTTGTTTGGGGAAATTGCTTATATTGTATGTGAGTAAAATTTTGTATAAAGTAGCCTATCAAATTGTATCAAAGTTTATTTTTCATAAATCATTAAAATAATCACTTATTTTTTCTATATGTGTATGGGTTGTGCAGTTTAGTTCCCACATGGAAAAAAGCATAAGCATTTGGATTTTTAATTTTCAGTTGTGTGTAAGAAAATGTACCTTTTCATTCAACTTATGACACTTGCTGCTTTTCTGTATTAATTTAAGTTTTATAAGACAGGTAAGCATTTATTAGAAGTTTTATGATCATTTATGAAATTATAGGTCTCTACATGTGATTATTAATGTGTTTAATGATATCAGATTAAATCCTAATTTTTTTTTTTTTTTGTCTTTTTGAGACAGTTTTCACTATGCAGTTCAGGCTGGGCTCACTTTGTAGCCCAGCTAGCTTTGAACTCACAGCAGTCCTCCTGCCTGTGTCCCATGTGCTGAAATTATAGGTGTGTGCCACCATGCACAGCTTAATCTTCATATTTTGAGACAATAGCTCATAGAATTCTTAAATAGATTCCTTTACGGTAGTACTGTGAGCATTGAAGTCTTGAATTTGTAAGTTCAGCTGACAGTGATTTGTCTAAGGAAATGTGTAAGTCATTGAGGAAAAAAGTTCGAGTAAAATTCAAGCTTTCTACTTTGATATTCACAATGATTATTTTCAGTAGTTGACTTAAAAAAACAGTGACTGGACATTGGAAAGACAGACTAGTCCCTCAGTGACATGAGGTAGTTTGGGGTCGGGGTATGGGTTGCGGTCAGGGCTCTGGCGAGTGGCTCTGAAGTGGCTCAGGGGCCACTTGTCCACGCTGCCCTGAGCTGCCTGAGATTGTCTCTATCTGTGGAATGCACAGTGTAATGGTGCAGGGAGGGATAAGGGAAGGGTTGACCAGGACCACGGTGGCTGTTGGACACAGCTCTGTCTGATGACACTTGTGTCACAGTCTGCATCTTCAGTGTCCCCAGAGGCTTCCAGGTGGCGTCACAGGGAGGTGTTGGAACCTGAGCCAGATGTTGGAGGAGGTGGACCGCTGTGGGCCTGAGCCTGTCCCGGCCCTTCGACGTTTCAGCTCCTGGCCATTGTGAGGAGAGCCGCTTTGCTCTCTGCTTCCGCCACAGCCCCAGCCATGTGTCTAACGAGGTGCTTTTGATGTTTTATCCACCACATTGCAGAAGGCATCTCCTGTTTTTAAGTTTTTTTCTGTTACATTGGAAGTATTTGCTTGTGTTGGAGCTAGAGACATTTTGTGTTGATGAAAGTAGTGTTTTGTCCATGACAGAAGGAAAGTAAGGAATGGGTATGAAAATGTCCACCATGACTGTGATGGTTTAGATCTACAATGTCCCCAGGTCTCATGGGTTCAGAGGTAGGGTGCTCAGAAGGTGACAGTCATGGGGACTCCTTTTGAAGTGGAAGAGTCCATAGCTGACTGGGCCATGGGGAGGCAAGGCCTGGCAGGATAGGGTGAGGCCCTGGGGTGTGGCTTTGTAGTCCATATCTTGTCTCTGGCCCCTTCTCTGTCTGTGTCTTGCCCTCGCTGTTTCCCGGCTGCCATGAGGTGAGCAGCTTTCTTCCACTGTGATGTTCCTTGCCTTCGAGTTGGCAGGCTGTGGACTGAACCCTCTAGAACTGTGAGCCCAGTAAACCTTTCTTCCTTTACTTTATCTTTGTAACAGCAGGCTAACACAGATCACAGATTTATATGCTTGGGAATCAGGAGTGGAAGGGAATGAAGGGGAAAAAAGCAGGTAATTTCTTCTTTTTGGTGTCATAGTGGGCAAGTTACTTTGCTTTTGAAAATTCCCTCCTATGTGCACTGAGTCATAGCACTGGTCAGTCTGGGTCATGTCCCTGGCTCCTGGCCTGTCCTAGAAACTGGAGATCCAGAGATGGAAGAAACCAGAAAGAACCCAGGCCACAGTCTTCATGCTTGTGGTGGTGATCATATAGAAAATGGGAACTCAGTCAGGTTTCTTGGAATAATATTGGCATGGAGTGTTATAAAATTCAGGTTTCCTTAAGAAAAAAACCCAGCAAGTTGGAGGAGGTAACCAGTTATCAAACAAATACTTCAGTTGACCACAAGAGTCACTGGAAGAGAGTTTAAAGTTGTGACTTCCCTTAAGACCATGAAAATTGAGTTCCACTCTTAAAATGCTCTTCCCAGCACCAAGAAGTGCCATGCACAGCAGGATGATTCCTGGAGGAGGTGACAGAGTGTCCTGTATTCGAAAGTAGAAAGGCCAGCACCCCCTGGGACTGCTAAGAACCAGGCAGAATTCCCCCGTGTAAACCTGGAAAGGCAGTGGCCTGTGAGGCCACAGGGGGGCCTCCCCCGTCTCTCCCAACTCCAAGCCCTGGGCTGTCATCAGGCTTCTGTGGGTCTCCTGTCTTAGTAAGAAGCTGTGCTCAAAGCTGGGACTTAAACTAAACAGATTTCCTAGAGGAAACACATGCGCGCTCACACTCTGCCCAAGTTGCTTTTATGGACGTTTCCCCCAGAAATACTGCGCTCTGGAAAAATAAATTCACAGGATGTAATTAAAGCCATTATGTGTGTGTTGGCCTGGGCCCTTCTTAAGTACTTCTCCAAATGGGCCACCAAATAAAGCCATGAAGGATGGCTTTGTTCTCAGCTTCTAACAATGATGTTTATTAATCTGGGTGGAGGGCGGACTTGTGTTGCTTTATAGTTTCAGAAATCATTTACAGAGTCCTTGCTCGGGACTGCCATGGGCTCTTACCCCAGTGTGACCTCTGCAGGGGCAGCAGTGAGGGTGGCCCTGTGACACCTGGGTGGACACAGCAGCCTCAGTGTCTGAGACAGCTGCCTTGGGGTGTGTTTCCGGCCTAGGACCTAGGAGAAAATGCATTCCTAATGGAGAACTGATTTCTCAGAGAAGAGTCCCCCAGACACCCTCCATAGGGTGACACAGGTGCTATGTGGCCTTTAACCCCAGCTCTGTTTTTTCTGCTCCCTTGGGGGACTCTCCCTTCACCCCAGGGACCTGAACACCTTGTATAGCCTTGTGGCCTGGGGAAAGGGGAGCATTACCTGGGATGGGTGGTGGGTGTGTACACGTGTGTATGTGTGTGTGTGTGTGTGTGTGTGTGTGTGTGTGTGTGTGTGATGTTGGGTTTCTCCTCCTGCAATTGTTGGGCTGGAAGTTTTCCCGACCAGTACTGGAAATGGAATCCAGAACCCTCAACACCAAGCACATCCCTGGCTTCTTAAATTTTTTATCTTGAGAGAGGGTCTTGCTCTGTCAGTACGTAGCCCAGTCTTGACTTGAACTTGTCTCAGCCCTTGGTACTGGGAACTGAGCTGGAACTTGATGCTCTTGGTGGAAACCATAGATGACTCCAGATCTCTCCGTGTGGGAGGTGGGGCTCTGGAGCAGGAGGGCAGTGAGGAGCTTGTTTTCTTGTGCTGATCAGAGCTGTGCCCCACTGGTCAGCAGCAGGGTCCAGGTGCCCTGGCCAGCCCACTGCTCAAGGCAGTGCAGCTCTGGGGTCCTGCGTGGAGCAGCAGTCAGCCCGATAAGCTGGCCACTGTCGGTCACTACCTGGGCTCCTTCTCCAGGGCGCCAACTGGCAGATGATGGTGTTAGAGCCAGGGTCACAATGGTCAGGCTGATTGATGAAGAGCTGGGCATGTGGAGGGGCAGAACCTGTGAAGGACCAAGGACATCTGTTTGCAGAGAGATGGGAAAATGCACAGGTCAGTCACTGGATAGCATCCTCTTAGGCAAGTAAGTGACACGGATCGGAAAATGGGTGAGGCTGCTGGTTCCAGGGCCACTCTGTACTGTGGCTTAGGTCTAAAATGTTCCCCAAACCTCACATGGTCATTGGCAGGGCTTTGGGAGGTGACTGGACAATGGGGCTCCTCGCCGAGTGCTGTGAGGTGGGGTCTGATAGGAAGACGTGTCCGGGCACGGGAGCTGGACATGTGCATCTCCCTCTCCGGCTCCTCCCTCCGTTCATGTCTGTCCCCCTGAGTGGCTCCCTCTGCCAGACCCCTGCATGGAGCTGCTTCTGCTGGAAGCCCACTGACTGTGGGAGCACCAAAACTTCTGGAAATGTGACCAAAACCTATAAATGTGGGCATTAGGTAGTGTGTCCTAGTGACAAGAGCCCTAGACACTGTCCTACAGTAAACTTTGGGTTTTCACAAGCCAAAAGGGGCATGCACTAAAATAACAGTGCACATTCCTGATTGTTCTGCAGTGCACGCAGCTGTGTGTATGCGAAGCCTGTAGATCTGTTCACTGTAGCACCACAGACACTTGTCTGCTGGTTGCTCTGTGACATTGATGGCTTCCGCGTCACCAGACAGTGGAGGTTTCTAGCTCTACCATCACCTTAAGGATTGCCTCGTCTGTGCAGCCCATCACTCACGCAAGCATAGATCTGCACGTGGCTAAATTTTCCTTGCGTGCCCTTTCCCTGGGGAGGACGGTGATGTTCCTCCATGCTGCCTTGTCTCCAAGCCTCAGCACACGGTTTTGGGGGATGGTTAAGATCCAGACCCCAAAGGCTCTCCTGAGTCTAGGCCCCCTAGACACACACATCTTCGGAGCCTGTTTCCCCAAGGACTCTGCTTCAAGGTTCAGGGCAGAGGCCTTGTCTTGTCATTATTGGGAGCCAGCTGACCTGAGGAAGAGGTTCCCGGGGAGGGCATGGAGAGCAGAGGGAGCCTTGTGTGTGTGCGCACGTGTGTGCACGTGTCCCTGTGTGTATGTGCGTGTGTATGACCTGAAGGGGTGTGAGAGCTGAAGGAAGAGCACTGGTGGGGTCCCCCAGTGAGGGGGCGCAGGTTAGGCTTCAGGGGTCACTGAGAGCTTCATAAACCCAGGGACAGTGACCAAGGGTTGGGGCAGGAAAACATCACTCGAGGTGGGTGTGGTGGTACAAGCTCCTAGGAGCCTGAGGCAGGAGAATTGCTGAAAGTTTGAGACCAGTATAAACTATATAGTGAGACCCTATCTCAGAGACTCAAAAAAAAAAAGCAAAACACAACACACATTTCACTGGGTGCTGAGGGTGAGGGTAAGCGACAGCTGAGACTTGCACTGTTCAGGAAGAGGCCAGCTACAGAGGGCGTGATGATACCACACATGGCGTGGGGTGGTGAGAGGAGTGGCCCACAGAGGGCATGTGGTATCTAGGAGCACGGTGGCCTCCCAACAGCCTAGAGTACTCCACCATGCACGGAGGACAGTGACCGCCCATAGGGACTGCAGAGAGGCCTAGCCTGGCGGACCCCCTGGAGCAGCCCCAAGGCTGACAGCTCGGGCCACCCTGACCTGCGCCATCTCTGGCTGCCACTAAGTGGGTCCCCCTTGGGCCTCTGTGACCTGGCCGAGCTGCACCTGGAAGTGACTGGGAGGGCAGGGTCCTGGCTTTGAGGGCAGAGAGGACACCGTTACCCTCCTCCTGTCTCCCCTGCACCAGGCGTGAGGACTGGGGCTGAAGGATAAAGTCCTGTGGGGCAGGGCTAGGACTGGGTGTGGGTCGTGTCCTCCAGGTATCAGCACATGGGACATATCTTCAGCTCCCCAGGTGATACTACCAGTCCTGTGGCAGGGAAGGGACCCATGTGGTGGGGAGCTGCACTGTCAGGAGCTCAGGCACCCATCACAGGACATGCACCACAGCTGTACCCACCTTCTCTGGACCCCCAATTCTCCTGGAAGACAGCAGCTGCCACCTTGGGCTGGTCAGAAGCTTCCAGAGTAAAGCCCAGTCCTGTGGGCTCCCCTTTTCCTCTGAGGGACTCTTCCCGGGAGGAGAGAGGGCTGAGGAACTGGCAGAGTGTAGTCCTCCTTGGGTGCAGCTGTGGGATGCAGCTGTGGGATGCAGCTGTGTCCTTGGTTCCCTGAAGTGGGGCAGAGCAAAGTGGGATCCCTTTCCAGGCCTCCTGAGGCAGACATTTACTTTTGTTATTAAAGTGTTGAGTCCAGGTTGGGACCATCTGGGGGACTGGGCCGTTTCTTTGGGGGACAAGGAGCGGGCAGCTGTGGTGGAGGCCTGAACTGTGAAGAGACAACAGTAGGTATTGATGGCCTTTGGGTGAGAGGAAGTGCTGGGTGGAGATGGCTCCAAAGCTGGGCAGCATGCTGGAGCCAAGTGACTTCTGGGACACCGATACCCTGACCAACTCCATCAGAGTCTTTTTAAAAACCGTGGTAAACAAGCCGGGTGTGGTGGCTCATGCCTGTAATCCCAGCACTCAGGAGGCTGAGGCAGGAGGTTGTTGTAAGTGTGAGACCAGCCTGGGCTACAAAGTGAGCTCAAGGCCAGCCTGAACTGCATAGCGCAAGACCCTGTCTCAAAAAAGACAAAAACAACCGTGGTAAATGGTACATAAACTGGAGCACCTCAGCCTTTCCTTGAGCCTGGCTCGTTCTGGGCCTTCTGCACGTGGGATGTATGTGGCACTGTCGTGTCACCCAGTGCATGTCCTCCTGGGCAAAGGGCTGCAGTGTGGGTTTGGAGCTGGACACCAGCGCTTTAGGGACTGCCCAGGCTGTTATCACTCAGCCATCGTTCGAAGGCGACCAGCTGATTTCAGGCTTTGAAGTTTGTGGGTATAGCGCTGGTGCAGAGCTGGGGGGTGGACACACCCAGCCCTGCCATGCGGTGTCACCGGTGTCCTTATCACGGCTCAGCACCGCTGCCGGAAGCTCCCTGCCCCAGACAGATACCAACGGGGCTGCCCAGGCTGGGACTGTGGCTGGCTGGGTGCCCCAGGGGTCGTTTCCTCCTGGCCGTTGGTGCCCTGGCACCAGAGGGCCCAGCCTCTTCCTCCCAGGCTTTCCACCTAAGTCCCTTCCTGCACTGAGGAGCCCATGCCTCGAGACCCTCACTGGACGCTGCATCTGCTCCCCAACACTGGCTGTGGCTAGGTAGGGCCCCACCATGGCTTCACAGGAGGATTCCATACCCATTACTATTTGCCCAGCCGGAAAAGATGCAGCTTCCCAGGGCCCTGCCAAAAACTCCTGGCGGGAGACGCAGGGTCCATCCATCCATCCATTCATCCATCATTTTGTGGTACTGGAGATTGAACCCCGAGCCTTTCTACTGAGCTACATCCCCAGCCGTTTTTAAACTTTTTTTATTTTGAGACAGAGTCCCACTAACTTGTCAAATTGGCAGGTTGGCCTCAAACTTGGCAGTTCTCCTGCCTCAGCATTCAAGAGTGCTGGGATTACAGGTAAACACTACTGGGCGGGGTTGCAGGATCTCTAGGGCTTGCAATAATGCTCCGCCTACACCCGAGAGGCCACGCCTCTACACGGGGGCGGGGACGAATCCGGCCAACCAGAGGTCCCAGGTTATGCAAATTAGGCTCCGCTCCAAGGGTGGTGCGCGATTTCCCAGACTCCTCTGCTTCTTACTTAAGAAGCCACAGCGTGACAGATACTCTGAGTTCCTTCGCGCTCAGGTCTGACGGCGAGGCCGGAAGTAGAGCCCTGGCGCCCCGCGTCGTACCGGAAGTCGCACTCCCGACGAGGCAGGCCAGTCTGCGGCTCCGGAAGTGGTCACGGGCCGCGCTACTTCCGGTCTGCGGTGGCCGGGGAGGAGGAGTGGCCTCGGGGGCTTGGGGCTGGCGCAGCCATGGCGGAAGGCGGCGGCCCAGAGGGGCAGGCGGGGCCTGGGCCCGCAGGTACGGTGGGCGCGGCCTCAGGGCGGTGGGACGCAAGGCACAGCACCGCGCACCTGGGATCATGGTTGTGCGCTGCAGCGCCGCGCCGGGCGCGTTCTGTCCGGGGAAGCGGTTGTTTAACAGTCGTCCCGAGAGCCAGTGTGGTTTGCTGGGACTCCAGCGCCAAGGGGCACGGGTCCCCCTGCATCTGCGAGCGCTCGGGTCCCGGCAGGCTGCGGGCAGCCAGGTACCTCCCGCTCTGTCCTCACCCCGCTTGCTACCCGGACGGTGAGCTCGGAGTGACACAGCATGCGGGGCGGCGAGGAAGGGGCCCACCTGCCCCCCTGGAACGCCCCGATCGATCCGGCGGCTCCACCCTGAGACCCTGCTGCGGCGCAGCCAGAAGCGTCCTGAGCTCACCATGCGTGCCGCAAGCTTCACATGCCTACCTGTGCTTCCGCAGAACTGTCTCCGAAAGTTTTATCACACCTTAGTAACTACGACGTTTGTTACTTTGACTTTTAAATGTGCAAACCTCAGAAGCAAGAGATGGTGCAAGGAGCCTTTCTCTTTCCTTCCCTTCATCCAATTAACAAATGTTGAGGACTAGCTGGACTTAGCTCAGGAGACAACAGTGGACATAACAAGCTGGACAGTCCCCTGCCATCCGAGTGTGATAGCCTTGTTTTTGACTACAGGACAGTCAGGACCTGTGGTTTGCCTGGTCATCTCCTGCAAGAGTAAGGGCTTGGAATGAGAGGCATTGTGTTGAAAAAACAGGATGGACGTTGCTTCCCGCGGTGGAGAGCAGTCCTGTGGGAGAAACATTGCCTTACTACCTGTACCATTCATTGAGTATACTTTTCCATCCATTCTGGAACTGATGCTGTTTTATCTGTTCATCTTTTTATTCTGATGAGAGTTGTTACCCTTGGGGCTGGGAATTTAGCTCAGTGGCATAAGTGCCTGCATGGCAAGTTCGAGGTTATGAGTTTGATCCCTGGTACAAAAAAAAAAGTTGTTACCCAATACAGTAGGTCTTTTCTCGTTATTCTTAATAAAAAACGTTATTCTGTGCAAATAAGTTTTAGAGTGTTTTTTCAAAACCTTGAAGAGATTGATTAAGCTTCATTTATTTATTGGTAACATTTAAAATTTCTCTATTATTAAATCTCATCCTAGTACCTAGTATGGTCTTTTTTTTTTTTTTTGACTTTTTTTTTTTTTTTTTTTTTTTTGGTCTTTTTCCTTTTTATTGGTACCGGGGATCGAACTCACGACGGCCTGCTTGCAGGGCAGGCGCTTATGCCGCTGAGCTAAACCTCCAGCCCCCACCTAGTATGGTCTTTCTGTTTAGGTTTTTTTTTTTTTTTTTAAATTGTCTTTCAGCATGTAGGGCTGAATTGATTTATATACATATGTTTTAGCTAAGCTAGGCATGGTGGTGTATGCCTGTAATCCCAGCATTTGGGAGGCTGAGGCAGGATTATTGCAAGTTGAAGACCAGTTTGGGCTACAAAATGAGCTTAAGGCCAGCCTGAACTCAAAAAAACAAAACAAAACAAAACAAAAAAAAAAAACCAAGAAACAGAAATATGTTTTAGCTTTCCTTTTTATTGAAATGTAACTTCTGTACAGCACAGTGCATGCATTTTAGGTTTACTGTTTGTATTAGTCCATTTTCCATTTCTACAATAAAGTACCAGAGACAGGTTAACTTTGCAAAGAAAAGAGAATTATTTTCTTTCAGTCTTGAATACTGAGAGCCTGACTTCGGTGTGGGGCCCTCTTTCTGTGTCACCTCCCCCTTTCACGTTGCCCAGTATTTGTGGATAGCATCAACAATGTGGCCCTCAGGGCCTGGGCTCTTGGCCCTGCTGCAAAGGGTGCCCCCATGTGGTGGCTTTGTAAGATCTCCATGCTGACAAAAGCCCCTGTCTTCAGTGCAGGTCGTAATCTGAAGGAGTGGCTGAGGGAGCAGTTTTGTGACCACCCGCTGGAGCACTGTGAGGACACGAGGCTCCATGATGCGGCCTACGTGGGGGACCTGCAGACACTCAGGAGCTTGTTGCAGGAGGAGACCTACCAGAGGTGAACGTTGCGTCCACAGCATGCTGAGGCTCATGGCCTGCTTTGTTCACATATGCCTGAATGCATGAGAATAGATGGAGGGAGCCCAGGAAGGCTGACCAGAGTTCAGGCTGGTCACATACTGTGGCCAGGGGTATGGGTCCAGTCCAGCTCTGTTGGTCCGCTTCATCTTTTCTGGCAGCTTCTGGGCGGCTCTCGACTTGAGCATCCTCAGTGGTGCTCCTGAGGCAGCTGTTGTCCTGCTCCTCAGTGTTGGACCTGTCTGGGCTTCTCCCGTGGCTCTTTCTCCCAGTGGCTTTGTGGACCCACAGCCACTTCCCCGTCACTTTGTTTGGTGCCTTCTTCAGCTCTCAGGTCACAGTCCTCTGCCCAGGCTGCTCTCCCTGCTGTCCCCTGGCTGTGGCCTCTGACTTGCCACATCCTGCTGTCTCATGTTCCTGTGCAGGAACTGAGCGAGCCTAGCCTTCCCCTTGGAGGATCTTGGCTGCTGGGTGTCTGACTGTGGAGTCTGGCCTGAGATTAAGCCCCACTACAGTCTGCACCCCACTCCTCGTACCTTTCCTGGTTTCAGTTTCTTGGGAACGGGCATGGCATTGAGCTTGTGGGTCCATGCTGAAGCTACCACTGCTTATGTGCATAGCTACCAGGAAACGCTTTTCTCATGCTTCAGGAGGCTGTTCTTTTCTTGTCCTTCTGGTCTCTTAGCATTGCTTCTTAGAGAAAATAACAATATCTAAAAAATACTAATTTAACACTTACTTAATGTGAATGATTCAAGCTCCCCAGAACCCTTAGTGAGACCTGTAGATGTCACCGCAAAGTGAATGGTGCTGCACCAGGGTTTTGTATTGCTTTGCCAAGTGCTCTTCTGCTTTTTTCTTAAACTCAGGTTCAGTGAGTCTTTTCATTGCTCTGATGTTTTCTCGTGTACTTACTTCTTGGGTGATGAGTTCTCAGGGTGTTCCTGGGCTCCACTGGCCATCCGAGCCCTTCCTTCAGGGCAGCTTGGCCAAGGAGGAGCAGAAGGTTGGCCTGGAGATGCTGTTGCCCTGTGTTGCTGAGTCTTGGCTCAGAGCTCTACACTGCTGGGCATGGGCAGACTGGAGGGTTAGTGCACCGTCTGCTAATCTCATCCCTGCAGCTGGGGCTGGGGAGTGTCCTGCTACCACCACTGTCACTGCTGCTGGCCAAGAGTGCAGCCATGGACTACTGTAGTGATTCCTCAGGCTCTCTTGGCCAGGGGCAAGGGGGCGTGGCAGTCACCTAAGCCTGTGAAGGGTGAGGCCCACAGAGAGCCCCAGCCTCAGGCCTTCACAGGGGGATGTCTGGGGAGGGGGCTCAGGGCCTAATCCAGCTCCCCGCCCAGCGTGCTGTCCATCCAGCCCCTTCCCATGCAGTAGTTACTCCTGGGAGAGGAGAGTGCTCTGAAGGGTGGCTCAGGACATCTTGGACCTGGAGGTCTCTGTTCTGGTGCCAATGACCTACATGATTCTCAGGCTTCCTATTCCTGGAGTGGGGCTTTCCATGCCTGCCCTGTGGGTCCAGCTGGGAGAAGATGGAACGCATTTCAGAAAGCAGGGAGAGTGGGGGCCTTGTTAGACCTGAGCGTGACCAACCTAAGTGACTGGTGCTGGCTGCTTGTCACGCCTGTCCTGTGTTCCCTGTAGCCGAATCAACGAGAAGTCTGTCTGGTGCTGTGGCTGGCTACCCTGCACACCACTGCGCATTGCGGCTACTGCAGGCCATGGCAACTGTGTGGACTTCCTCATCCGCAAGGGGGCCGAGGTGGACCTGGTGGACGTGAAGGGGCAGACCGCCCTGTATGTGGCCGTGGTGAATGGGCACCTGGAAAGCGCCCAGATCCTCCTGGAGGCTGGTGCTGACCCCAACGGGAGCAGGCACCACCGCAGCACTCCTGTGTACCATGCCTCGCGCGTGGGCAGAGCCGACATCCTGCAGGCTCTCATCAGGTCAGTGTGTATGGGCCTCCTGCCTGCCGTGGCAGTTGCTTTCCCCTGGCCTTAGTGTGGGCCGTGCTAGAAGACTGGTCCGCCTGGCTGGTCTTACCGTCCATTTGCTTTAGTAGTGCCCCTCCTCGGCTGGTTACGGGTTCATTGATACACATGAGTGGAGTGCTTATTCATTTTTCACTTGGTTAATAATGTAAGCATTTCAGGTGGTTAATTTGTTTGATTATAGCCTTGGCCATATCTTCTAAAGTTCTTTGTTTTATTTTTTTAAATGATAAAGATGCCTTCTATTATTTTTTCCAGTTTCTGGGGGAAAGTTCTTTACCTGTCACAGGCCAGCAGTACGCTTGAGTTACAACACTTAGATGCTTTCTGGATATAGTTCCAAGGAGTTACTAAATTCTTGAGGTTTTCACAGCTCTTAGAAACTGAACTAGGAGACTGATATGATATGGATTTGTTTTGATGGATAACGTTTATGCTGTGTTTATTTGACATACTGAGGAAGTTGAAATAAATGTCTCTGTTCATCAGCAAGTTCAGTTAAAAATATGTTTGATAAATGTGAACTGAGCTCTTGCTGTGGAGTCATGGCCGTGGCTCCATCAGCTGTGGTCTCATTTTTTAGTCTCAGTGGTGCCTATCAGTCTTTGCCAGCTGTAGCAGCCACTGCTTGGTAAGGTTTTGCCCTGAAATTGTCATTGGCATCCAGCTGTCTGACACTTTCATTGTGCTCCTGCTTAACCCAACCACGAAACCACTGATCCCAAAACCTAGCTGGTACTCCAAGATACGAGGTGGTCCGTTTGCGCCAGATACACTAGGCTGCTCCAGCCTGGCCAGCAGTGGCTGTAGTTTTCCTGGCACTCCCTTGGCTGCCAAGTTCTCTAGAAAGTGTTCACCCTGAGGACCTGACAAACTGGCAAACCAGTGCGTGAAGAACACACTCATCCCTGGGAAGTGATGTAAGGCCTCGAAGGAAGGGGAGAACTGGCAGTAGTATCTGGTACTGGGTAATAGAAGGAGGGACAGTGGCACTGAGGAGGAAGATGCCTCCAGTGGTATCCTCCCTTTGTCTCTCTGAGAGCCCTCGGAGCCCTCCCAAGAGAGTCCTTTGACTTGGACTCAGCTTTGTTTTAAAAGTAGCTATCTAAATGAGGAGCTCATTTAGAACTTCTCATCTTGAATTTTTGTCTGTTAACACAGCTAACTAACATTGTGGCTGTAGCCGGTGCTGGGGTCTATTCCGTTATCTGTCTGTTACTAAACTGTTTCCTTTATTTGCTGTCTTCATTTCATGATCTGTGTTTTCTTTGCTTTCCCTTTGCATTATTCTACAAGGCTTAGAGTCTTGTAATTACACCAGTAGTTCCTTTTATTTCTTTGTTCTTGTTGGAACCGGATTGTGTGTTCGCTTTTCACCTTTCCAGGGACTTCACTTTCCCACCGCAGACGGTTTTCCCTCTCACAGTTCTGGGTCAGGTCACAGTGCCGGGTGGCAGGTGCGGTGTGGTCAGAGGCTCTGAGGAATGTTTCCTAGTAAAACGGGTCGGGGAGGGGTTCCACGAATACAAGTCACAGTCAGGGCCTGCCAGCAGCGGTGCGCAACATGTTGTAAATGGCCAAAAATCTTATGTGTTCCTTTGAAAGGTTTGTGTCCTACAGAGATAGTTTGGGGAAAGATACATAAGAGTGTACTCTAGATGGTTGCAAGGCCATGAGAGTTCTCTTTTTGAGGACTTCTCGCCTGTTAACCTGAGCTACTTCAGTTCCGTGCCATGCATGTTGGCTAGTATAAACCATTGATTCCAAAGCATTTTCCAGGAGGATCAGCTCATGCCATCGCCTCCTGGTCCAGAAACCCTCCTGGGCCTTTGCCTCACCACACACAGCTCCGGGTGGGGCCTGCAGCCTGCTGTGTCCAGGTGCCCTTCTTGAAACCCCTCCAAGATGGGGCAGAGAACACTGTTGTGACGATGACATACCAAGAACATGTGTTACTCTGGGAAGTTTCCTGTTGCCTAAATGCCAAGGTGGCTGCCTTTGGAGTGGGGCTGACAAGTTCCTGAATGGTGATGCTTTCTCAGCATCATCCGAGCATGGCAGCTGTGTGCCCTACGTTACTTCTCTGGGATGGGCTCTTTCATTGCTGTCGTTTCCTGTCACTCTGTGAGTTACCTTCTTTGGTTATTGGTAATTTTCTATTCCTTTGTAGATATTTTAGAGTTACAAAGCATCTACAAAGGAAGGTTCTGTATAGGATAAAGGCAATTTATGGAGTTGTCCACGTGATTTCTTGCCCGAAGTTTAAAAGTAATAGGGGAATTAGGAAAATATCTAGGATTAAAATTAACTGGATCCCATTCAGTTTATGTTTAGGGGTGGATGAATAACTGCTTTTCCTATAGCTAAGCTAATACTAGATTGTCATGTTGCCTAAAATTATAAATGTGATAGCAGACATGGCTCTAAGAATGAGGTAAAAAGTGTCCTTAATTAAAAGGGGAAGTTTATTGTTTCCCACCTTACAGTCCATACTCCAGGCTCTGAGGCTGAGGGCTGTGTCTGGTGGGAAGGAGAAGAGATCCAGGGTGGCCCTGGGGAGGGGAGACCCCACACCTGTGCCCTTCTTGGCCACGCCCTCGGTGATGCCTCCCAAAGGCAAGTCAGCTGGAAGCCTGTGAGCCACTCTGGGGTGACGACCAGATCTGAGCCATAGCAAAGCCCCTCACCAGGGAGTTCAGGGGATGGCCGGACATGTGGGACCTCATGATGCAGGGTCTTGCAGGAAGAAGGTCTGTCCCCACTGCCATGGCTGCTGTCTGTCCAGCACTACTGCTGCTTTAACGAGGCAAGGTGTTGTCTGCTGGGTCCTCTCGCTGTCCCCTGAGACTGGCAGGTGTCCTGCGGGACATGCTCCAGCTACCCACATGTCTTGGTGTTCAGCTTGCCTCCTTCATTTGCGAGTTTCTGTTTGGGTACGAACTTTAGAGACGCTGTCCCTTTCTCCTGAGGCCGGTGGCAAAGCTGCTGTCTCCTGAGGGTGGCTTTGCTTCCTTGCACTGTTTGATTCTCTGAGCAGGCTTCATAATCAGCCTCAAGAGCTCCGTGATGCTATTTGTAGACAGCTTAGTTCAGGAGTGGTATTTTTATTTATGAGATAAACTTTGGGAAGGTTACCACGGTAAGTTGTTGCGTCTAATTATCTGATTCTTAGTAGGTGTTCCTTTCTCTTAGGCCTGCTTTCATAACTTTTAGTACAGTTAGTCATTTTTCTTCTATAGATGTTGGACATTTATTGTGACATTTATGCTGTTGTGTCATATGTTTTGTTTTCATAAAAGCATCTTCATTTTGTTGTTAAACTTGTTTTTGTTTGATTGGATTTTATTATGTACGATAGTATAAGCAAAAACCTTTTAAAGACAAGGAGATTATACAGAAACCATTGTTCATTTTCTGTTAGTCGATTCTAAATACTCTGTAATGCTGTCATTCTCTTAAATGGTTTTACATTGTTTTGATATACTTAATGCTACAGTATATGAAGTTGTACTCAAGGACTTCAAGGAAAGAGTCAATATGGTAACTACTTTTAGGTCGGAATTATCTGGTGGTGAAACACTATTCTGCTTAAATGGTTATGTTTTGATCTGCGCTGTTTTGCTGTTATGCCCTCTTTTTTCTCAATCTCCACTCCATTATTTACTTTTTTATTTTTATCCGTTTAATTAAAGGGAAAAAAATAGCAGGATATAATATAGTAACCCACATTGACTTTCTATTATCTCGATTTGAAGCCCTGTATTATTCTCACCATCTTGTTTTTGACTGATGTTCCCCTATTCTGTTTTGATGGATAGTATCAGGTTCGAAAGTTTAGGCATCAGCTGAGAAGATAATGAGATTCATTATAACGCCCATTCTCGTTGACTTTTATCTACTTTTGAAGACCTACAATGTCTCCAATGTTTTGGTTTTGTCGGTTTTGTTCTTTACTATTTTGTTCAATTGTATTATAACTAATGATATAGGCAATTCTATTAGAGATAGTGGGAGGCATTATGGTAACCATTGATGATCACCTTGTATTATGTTTTTATAGTATCTATTATGTCCACCCTTTTGACTTGACCGATTCTGTCCTGTTATGTCTCATTTGGTTTTACTCTCTTCCAAAAAAGCAATAAGAACCGTGGGAGCAATGAAACCCAAAATGTGTAATAGTCATTGTACAAAAGAGAGGAAAAGAAAGTGCTCTAAACTATATAATTGCATGTATATTTAAGTGTATAAGATAGAAAATGATATCACAGAGTTTTATTGGATCATTGAATAGAACTGTTTGCAGTATCATTGTTGGAATGTCCACTCTACAAGCTTTAATTTTGTGACTTGAACAATTATTTTTAAGATGGCAATATGTAATCCATTAACTAGTGATTTCCTACTGTTCACTTTTTTCTTCTGTAAATCTGTATAACTTGTACCCTTTCACTTTTTTTTCTTTTCTCCTTAAATTAAAAAAAAACAAAAACAAAAACTTGTTTTTGTTTGTATGTATGAATGAAAACCATCAGTTTCCCAATATACTACTTCATTTTTTTATTTTTGTGTCCTTTTGAGACAGGTCTCACTCTGCAGTTCAGGCTGGCCCTGAATTTACTACATCACCCAGGCTGGTTTTGAATTTATGGTAATCCTCCTGCATCTAGGTGCCAGGTTTCTAGGTGTGTGCTACCACACCTGGCTCAATGTGCTGCTTAAAGAAATTTTCTCACTGCCAGTTGTTTTTCCATTGCTTGCTTAGGTCTTTCCAGACATTATCATTGTGTAGGCTCTGAATATAGGAACATTTTGCTTCTTCTCTTCCTAATTCCAGTCTCATTGATCACATTGCTTTCTTTGGCCTGACAGTGTTGTCAAAGCCCGCAGGACACATGTGACAGAGGGGGGAGGACGGGGCAGGGTCACACCTAGCACCTGGTGAAGTGAGATGCTGGTAGCCATCAGTTTCTACTTTTATTATTTTTGATCATGTGGAGGCATTGAGTTCAGTCCTAAGCCTTTTCTTTGGTGTTTGTGGAGAGGATCAGAGCTTTCCTGCTTAGCTGCCATCTTTTGATGAGCTATGCTGGTAGTTTCTAACACTGGAAGGAGCTGTCATCTCCCAAAACCCCCAGTGGGGTCACGGCCCATGGCCTTCTTGGCACATGTTCTGATTCTCTTTGCTAATATTTCATGGAAGACTTTTAAATTGATACTCAGAAGTGAAATAGTTGGTAGTTTTTCTTTTTGGTATGGTTGTGATCATGTTTTGGGATTATTGTACTAATTTGTTGTAAGATGAATTGAACATTTTCCTTTTTCTGTGAACTAGTTTGAGTAGCCTTGGAATTACTGGACTTTTTTCTTGTTATTTTTTGAGACAGGCTCTCACTATGCCTATGGAGTCTTGGCTGGCCTTGAATTCACTATTTAGTGCAGGCTGGCCTCGAACGTGGGCAGTCTTCTGCCTCGGCCCCCTGAGTGGGGGATTACAGGTGTGTACTACCGTGCCTGATGGAGTGGAGTCTGGGTGTGAGTAGACTCTTCATTCTTGCTGTCGCCTTGTTTTGTGGGCAACAGTGACGCTTTAGTCATCCCTGCACATGAGAGATTGGTGCCCAGATTGCTCAGTCCTGCTGGAGGACACCTGGCTCCTTACAGAAGGGGGTGTTATTTGTAGGGAACCTGTACCCAAAGATCCTCCTTAAATCATTCTGGATCACTTCTCAGACCTGATCTAATGCAGAAGCTGCGTGAATAGCTGTCAGGCTGTGTTGCCTAGGGAGTGACAGGAATTGCTGGAATAGTTTTGATCCATAGTTGTTCAAATCCTTAATTTGGAGCCTGTGAAGTATGGGGTGGGTTGCAGGGGCAGACTATTCTTGGTTTTCACAAGGCCTGATGTTCCTCTCTCCTGCAGGTATGGGGCTGATGTGGACGTCAACCACCACCTGACTCCCGACATCCGGCCCCCTTTCTCACGGCGCCTCACCTCCTTGGTGGTCTGTCCCCTGTACATCAGCGCAGCCTATCACAACCTACAGTGCTTCCAGCTGCTCCTGCAGGCCGGGGCAAACCCTGACTTCAACTGCAATGGCCCTGTCAACACACAGGAGTTCTACAGGGGCTCCCCTGGCTGCGTCATGGATGCTGTGCTGCGGCATGGCTGCGAGGCAGCCTTTGTGAGTTTGCTTGTGGAATTTGGAGCCAACCTGAACCTGGTGAAATGGGAACTGTTGAGTGCAGAGTCAAGAGGCAGAAGGAAGGTGGACCCCGAGGCCTTGAAGGTCTTCAAAGAGGCCAGAAGTAAGTGGGCTGCGTACAGCTCTGACTGCAGTCTGTTTGAGCTGATGAAGTGACCAAGATCATGGTAGTAGTGAAAACAAAGCCCAGCTAATACACATGTGGCCAGAATCCTCACTGAGAGCCAGGGGTTTTCCTGATTGGCCATTCAGATTGGTCTTCTCTTTGGCAGTACCTACTACTCAGAGTTGATACTAGAAATTCTATAAAAGTATATATATGTTCTTTTTTTAAACTTTTTATCAGTACTGGGGATTGAACTCATGACCGCCTGCTTGCAAGGCAGGTGCTTATGCTGCTGAGCTAAATCCCCAGCCCCAAAGATTTTTTTTTTTTTTTTTTTTTTTTTTGTCTTTTTCGTTTTTATTGGTACCAGGGATCGAACTCACGACTGCCTGCTTCCAAGGCAGGCACTTATGCCGTTGAGCTAAATCCCCTACAGGTATGTTGTTAAAGTTCCTGGAATTATCTTCTCTTTGTCCTTCACTCTATTTGTGTGACCCCAGAGGCCAGGAGACCGTGACTAACTATATGTGATTTTAAAGTGAGCAGTCTCCAAGCTCAGTTTCCATAGTTACTCCCTTCACGTCAGGCCCACTCAAATGCCATGACTTTGGATTGTGTGATATGTCTGATTTTGTTCACTTGTGCAGAAAGATTTTGCTAAGGAGTCAGAATGGCAGGAAAGTTACCTTCCGCTTAGTGTGGTGATGTTACTAGGTTTCGCCAGCCCTGGGGAGAGGTCTGTGTGTCCTCCATGACCTTGGCCTGCCCTCACCTCCTGGACAGGAATTAACCTGCCTTCCTGTGTCTCCTCTCCCTGTGGCTCTCCAGGTGTCCCCCGGACCTTGCTGCATATGTGCCGTGTGGCGGTGCGAAGAGCGCTTGGCAAACGCAGACTTCATCTGATCCCCTCACTGCCTCTGCCAGAACCCATTAAAAAGTTTCTACTTTATGAGTAGAATTAAGCACAGCGGCTGAGTGAATGAGGAAGATGCTGACTGCAGTGAGCCCTGGTGCAGCTCTGGCATCCTGGAAACCAGGTCCCACTGCCCCTTCGTCCAGTGACTACTGCAGAAGAAATGGCCTTATTCTTGTGGACTGTGATTTCACCTCCGGTGCTTGGGCCAGTGAACAGCCGAGAGGGTCACACAGAACTTGATTTTGTTTTTCCTAAATGTCTGTGTTGGACTTTTGCAGTTGTATATTAATGAAGTGGACCATGAGGTACATGTGGGTGTTGGCAGGGCTGGAGGCTCTGATCTCTAGTAGGGAAGACTCCTAGCATTTTCCAGAACTGTTTTATTTATTTTTGTACTTTGTAGTTTAATTCTTCTATTAGACCTAATATCTAAATGAAGAAGCAGTTTTAGTTAAAGAAAAAAGTAGGGAACAGAAATGCAGTTCCTAGAAGAAAAAAAGGAAATGCAGTTCCTGAACTTGCTAGTTAGTTTTCTCTGCTGCTGGGTTTAAGGGAGGTGTACATTACACATACACACGCACACACACACATACACACACATATGTATGTGCACCTCTTCCTGCTGTTCCGCATTCTTTGGGTGGCGTCAGTGGTACCTGAGTCTTTGGGGTTCATAGGCAGAGAGCTCTGCAGAGCAGCACCTGTCCATGCAACTCCTGTGCCTCGTGTCACACCAGCAGGTGTTGTGTGTTCTCTGCCACTTCCTTTAGGGGATACCTGGATGGGGTGGGAGGAGGAGGCCCTCGTGGAGCCGGCCTATTTGCATCTGAGACCTCCTACAGCCGTCACTGCCAGGGCAGGTGGACAAGAGGACAGTGAGGTGCCATTTTCCATCCCTCCCGAAACTGGGTGCTCAGTTTGTCCTGGGGGATGGTCAGGGTGCTGCACCTGTGGTTGCTTGATGTCTAGTGGACGAGGCAGCTGTCTTCACTGAGGTCTCAGTGTCTTGGTAGCTGCTCAGCACCTGCTCAAGCTGTGGCTGTGACAATGAAATCTCTGTCATCCAAAGTCTCAGGGCTGTGATCTGTAGTGATTTTAAAATGAAGCATTTTAAAATGAGATTCGGAGCTAGGGTTAGGCTTGCTGTGCCATAACAGAAACATAATTTGTAGAAATAAGGCAGACATTCTATTAATCATTTGTCGTTCTTTTGTGTGGGAGCAAACCAGGCAGTGGGGACCCTCACATTGGCAGGCAGACCCTGTGTGCCTGGGTGGGTGGGCTTCCTGCTGGGTCCCTGAACTCACTACTGTCTGGTGGGGGTGCTGCATGCAGTTGTGAGGGGAGGCATATTCAGTGGCATGTTGCTCAGCGATGAGTGGGACCTGTGGTGAGTGTGAGTTGCCTGGTCGAGGCCTGGGCTTGGCTCCAAGTTGCTCCTGAGGTCAGGAGAGCTTCCCTAGAGGGGAAGACTGGCGTGGCAGTGGGCTGTGAGCTGTAGGAGGGGTCTTGTGCTCCTTGCACTGTTCAAGGAAGGACTGGAACCAGAGCTGGACTCCTGCAAGGCCAGCAGCTCTAAGGAATTAGGGCAGTATTATCCGAAGGCTGAACCACCTACAGGGGTCCTGTCACTGGAGAGGGTTCCCAGGCTTGGTAGCTGATTTGTGGCCTTGGAGCGCAGTCCTGTTTGGCATTCCTGGCGGCTTCCCTACTCTGCCTGCTGTGCTGCAGCTAGCTGTGCACTTTGCCTGCCATGCGGTGCCTTCTGTGGGTGTCTGCGGTGAGGCCATGAGGCTGAGGCTGGGTGCTGTGTTCCTGTGTGCCCGCCAGGGTGGGGCTGGGGCTGGGGCTGGGGCTGGGGCTGGTGCTCAAGCCCAGGCTGTTTTCCCTAGGTATGGAGAAGAGAGGCCCAGCTCTGCCCTGGGGCTTTCCGGCGCTTGCCCAGAGCTGGTGGGGGACACTCCTGTCTCCCTGGTGTGTGACCTCCAGCAAGTCTGCCATACTCGTTCACTGCCTCTCCGCTTGCTTCTTGGCATCCCAGCAGCTTTGCTGTTTGGATGCTTGTTTGAAACTTCACAGCTGACTGCTCTGACTCAGCCTGCTTTGGAGCTTGACACTCTTTTTGTTCTTAGTGCTGCTTGTTGTCTTTTATTGTCAGAGGCAGGACACAGGGTCGGAAGGAGCTCTGTCTGTGGGAGCGCTTCACAGAATCAGGTTCTGCCTTCCAGGCAGTGTGGCCTGCAGAGAGGGGAAAGCTGGTGGCTGATGTGGCTGCTGCCTCCTGGCCCAGGTCCCGGAGAGGAGCCTGGTGGCACTCGGGGGACCCCGTCTGGGTGTCCATCTTGCTGCTGTGCACGGAGGCGCAGGCGGGCCAGCTGGAACAACAGTGATTCTTTTGGAAGTCAGCCTGGGAGTCTCAGGGGAGGGCTTTAGAGGTGTCTGAGTTACATAGTTATGTATACTTTGCCTTGTTTTTTAGCATTTTGACCGTACCTAAGTTGAGTCAGGACATGCACACCTGTTAAAGACAGTAACTAGCGGCTTCCTAGTGGTGGCTGTTTCCGTTATCAGGCTTTAGTGGCATCGTTTTGTTTCCTAAAAGTTCATGGAAGAAAGTGCAACACCCCGCAACATGGTCTGGGCAGAAGACTGCAGTGCCTGGGCTGGGGTCTGCCTGGGAGGACAGGGCCTGGTGTGCTCAGCGACAGTGCTGGGACCATGAGACATGGCCTTGTGCCCGTGGGTGGCCAGCACGGGCAGGTGAGAAGATGGCCAGTGTGGCAGGTGTTTCATGAAATCAGGGTTCCTGAGCCACAGCAAGGTGGTGTGGTGGCCACTGTCATGAAGCCTGGCTGGCTTCTCTTTCCTGGCCACTGGCCCATTGCTGCTTCCTTGGGGCCATGCAGGTCTCTGGGGCTCCTGTCTCCCCAGCCTCTGCCCATATGAAAGCCGTTTGGAGATTGGTCTGTTCACTGTGGATGGATTGTGGGAGGGTGGTGGTGCAGCCTGCGTCCGTCCCACCTGGCCCGGCTGTTTATGGGCAGAAAGTGGCTCTGTGGCCTCAGCAGTGCTGTGCTATTGTCACTGTCACACATGTCATTCTGGCTGTTCATGTGTAGTACAAAGGTGGCTGTTTCCAGGTGGCCATCAACAGGTGTGAAGCAGTGTGGTTGCTTGTGGAGGTGTCGCGCTGGTCTTTAGGCAGGACTTTTGCAGTGGGCAGCATGGGATGTACACAGTACCTTCTTCCAAGGGGAATCCCCTGGGTTCTGGTCACCTCACCGTGCCAGGCACGGTAGCCTTTCCACTGCCTGAGGCACAGGAGCAGCGCTGAGATCTGTGTGCAGATGTCCCCACCTGCAGGGACCTTTGTCTCCCTGTCCCATGAGAGGCAGCGGGTGAGGTCTGTGCCCACACATGGCCCTTGGAGCCCATGATGGTTTGGACTGGCCACTGGGGCTGGGGTTGCAGGAGCCTGCTGCCCCACCTTCCCTGCCCGCACCTTTTGGCTTGGCCACCATACTGGCTTCCTGGGGTCTGGTATCCACCAACACATGTCACCCTCCTGGAAGTACCTCTGCTGACCGCAGGATGCCCCCATCCCTCACTTCCTCCTCCAAATCTGACTCCCTGGGTGTGCGATAAAGTAATTGATGTATAAACAGTAGTGGGGTCTGTGCCCTGTCCTGGAGAGTCTCGTGGAAGGAGTGGTAGACGTGGAGGTGACCGGGGCATGTGGAATGTGTAAGTTCTGGGCTGAGGAGGGAGGTGGGAACTCCTGTTGCCTTAATGTGTCACCCAGTGTCTGAGATGACAGGGTTCTGTTCTTTTTAAGCTGCTTTGATTTTGAGCTCTCTCAGTACCATGTAACATGTACATGTGCATAATCTGTGAGCGTGGTGTTTGTGAACGCAACTCTGTTGTGTGTACGGGTCAGTTGCTGCTGTCATTTTGCTGCAGTGCTCCGGTCTACCTGCTGTGGCCTCCCAGCTCCCATGGGCGCTGGGTGTGCAAGGTGCGCTGTGCACTGGGGCCCATGTGCCTGGGGATGTTGCAGAGGGCGCTGCTGCCAGCCCCAGGGTCCCCGTCTGCTTGGGTGGGGAGTGTGTTTGCTGCAGGGGCTAAGAGCAGCACCATTGCGGCCCTCGTGTCCAGTTATGAGTTCTCCAAATTGTGACCGACATTTTCGGTATGTTACAACTTTAATAAACTCTTTGTTCCCCTCTTCCCCCAAGTGCTTTTTTTTCTGGTGTGGGTGTGAAATCTTGGTGTGCGTGGTACAAGAAGGGACCTGCTCTGTGGACCCTGTGGGTGACCCCACTTTCCGGGTGTTCCAGGACCCCAGGGAGGCCCACACTGCTTGATGACCCCATTCAGAGTGGCCCTGGTTTCTGGCCCGGAACAGTTGGGCCCCAACCCACATTTTCCAGCCAGTGACAGATACCGTGTTGGTGACTGTGGGCAAGGCTCATACCCGGCCCCTTGCGCTGTGTGTGACCTCCACGGCAGGGGGAAGCTGCGGGCCGAGTGAGTGGAGTGGAGACATCGGCTCCTTGGGGCTCCTGTGTGTCTTCTCTGCCAGCTTTTCAGTGCTGCCTCCATTCCTCGAAGCCACCCAAAGCTCCTGCGGGAAGGGCGCTGCCTCCAGTGGCCTGTCTGTGGTGGCCATGTCGCTGTCACATATGCCAGCTGTGCCCTCTGCCGCAACAGTGTCTCAGCTTGGGGCTGAGCACTTGGATCCAGCTGCCATCCATCCTTCGCCAGAGTTCACTGAAACAACAGAGCTTTTTTTTTTTTTTAAAGCACAATTTGGAACCTTGCAAGGAGATACATGAATACTATTTAGAAGCACCCAATAAAATGGCATTGTGAGGAAAACATGGGAACAGATGAGTGAGTTGCCAGAAGCACTGGAATTGGTGGTGTCAGGTGCCTCTGGGAGCAGAGTGTGGGGGGAACTAGGATCAGGCAGCCTTTTAAGCCCCGAGTGCACCTCCCCAGCCCACCACCACCCTAAGAGCTCACCCTGTTCACAAACTTCCTCGTGTCTCCGGGCCTTCTTCCCTGTCCACTCTGCCCCGAGGGGAAGCTGCATGGCACCCTCACCAGATGCTGCGGCCCAGGCCTGAGGCCACTGTCCATGTCGCCGGCCCCTGGGGCCCTGTGCATCGGCAGAGGGTGGGCGGGGATGCTCTAACTGCCTGAGATCCAGGGCTTCTACAGCTGGGTCTCCAAACCCCGCACCCTGTTGGAGCAGAGTAACGGCTCCACAGCCTGCTCCGGATGGAAAGTTCACTGGGCTGCCCATGGCCAGGGTGGGTGGGCAGCCACTTGACAGAGGTGGGGCTGGGGGTCCCTAAAAGCCGGCTGGGGCATGGCGCTGGACTTGCGGGACCCTGTCTACAACAGGCCTGGCTCCCCAGGAACGGGGGAGAAACCTGCTAGAACCTGTGCGGAACACAACCCGGAGGCTGCTGGCAGCTTGCTAGAGGCAGCGCCTTGGGGTCTCCCATAGGGATGAGAGAGACCCTGCAGAAGCCAGGGGGAAGACAAGAGGATCTGTCCTTTCTGCAGTGTGCCTCTAGCGCCCTCTATTGGTGAGCCCCGCAGGGTGCCCGCTAGCAGCGGTTTGCCGAAGCCCAGGGCGGGACTGTGGGGTGGGGGAGTGTCGCCAACAGGGTACAGGCTTCTTTCCCCGGGGAGCCCAGCCTTCCTTTGGGTCAAGGTTCTGAACCTGTGCACAGAGCTAGGTCTGGGGCTTGAAGAGAGGCTGGCACCATCCACAGAGGTACTCAGGCTTTTGGATCCCCCGTTTTCTCTTGGGCATTTTGGAATGCCGTGTCCCTAGGAACACCACATCAACTTAGCTGTGGAACAGTTATTTAGCAGCTGGCACGCACCTGCCCTCCCACCTGGCCTCTGCTCCTCCAGAAGCCGTGCTTCCCACTGCGACCAGGGGCCACTAGCACACACCACTGCCCGCAGGTGGAGGAATGGGCTCTGCTGTTTTCCCTGGGTGTAGGGGGAGCTGCAGGCCGTGTAGGCTCCATCCAGCCCAGCACTCTGGTCTCCCTTCACCTTTGGTGCATCCTCCCCCTGCCAGGGGAACCCTAGTGTCGCAGCCCCGTGATCTGGTAAGCTGTTAGCCCCTCCTCCAGCTGCCCAAGCAGGGACTTAGGTCTAGGCCCTCTAGCAACATGATGCACCAGTAGGTTTGGTCTGCTCTGCTCTGACATCAGAGTCCACATTCTTGGTCTGATTCCCTCACAGATCTTCCGGGTTTCTCCTGAGAAGTATCCACAGAGTTGTGCCTATTTGGAATCAGCTATTGTTGGGGTGCCCCCCTTCCCAGGCCCTAATTCCCAGTGACTATGGGGACAGACAGGAGTATCTGCTCCAGGACATCGCCCCAGGATTTCCAATTGAAGGCACATTCGAGCCTGTGAATGGGTTGCACCACCCTTTGCACAGGCTCAGGAGGCCCCAAGGGTCACAGTCAGTGTTGCCTGGGTCCTGCCAAACAGCCTGCTGCAAGTCCATGGCCCTTTCCTGTTCCATGTACCCCCTTCCTAATGAGCTGCTGGTGAGATCATGGATTCAGCAGTCATGCGCAGCCAGAACTAGGGAGTTTGATTTCAGAAATACCATGCTTGTGACTTGGGGCAGAGAGGCCTCCTTTAGGGCTGCCATTGCAGCTGTCACCATGACTCCTGCTCAGTTTCCCAGGCCCAAGCTGGCTGTCGTCTGTCAGCAGTCAGTGCCCTCGGAAGTCCACATCCCATGCAGCCATGGGGCCCCCCTGGGCACCAGTGCAGCTGGCAGTCTCACAGTATGCCCGGGTTAACACCTGGATTGACCCTGACACTGGCAGGTAGTTCTAAGTAGTGCACCCCACCTTCTGCTGGCTGGTAGGGAGTGGGACCCTGCTCAGGCTGGGAGTAAAGCAGTCCCCAGACTGAATTGTGGCAGGTCTGTGTCCTATGGCCTCCCAGCACTAGTGTCAGTCTGTGTCTGGGCCAGGAGGAGGTAACCACACAGTGACATGAGCAAAGGGGAGCACAGGGAGAGCACCCGTGCAAAGGTGGCAATACACGCCTGTGATCCTAGCACTTGGGAGTCTGAGGCAGGAAGTTTGCTACAGGTTCAGGGCCATGCACCTTGGAGCACCCACACCATTTTCCTCGCAGGTGCCAGGAAGGGGAGTGTCGTCACACTTGCTGGGAAGCTGCTGGAAGTTCCCCATGGGGGTGCCCGCAGCCTTCTCTGAGAGCGCTGATGGGGTGCCACCCAGCAGCCCCCTTGCCCCGCAGCTCCCCTGGGAGCCGCGCGCTCCCCAGGCACCCGGAATGAGCAGCAGGTCCCCTGGAGCGGTCGGAGCGGCTTCCTTCTCCAGTGTCCCTCTGCTGCCCTCTGCTGGCGAAGCCTGGAAGTGCGTCCCCTGCCCGTGAGGGAAAATGCGTTCAGACCACAGTGCAGGGGTGGGCTGTACTCTGGCCTGATGACAAAGCCAGCGCGGACTGGAGGAGAAAAGAGCACCCTGCTCGCCTCCCACTCGCAGGTACCGATGTGCGTCCTAGAGAGCAGCGAGCTGGGTTTAGCAGTGCTCCAAACACAAAGCCGGTGTCTGCCAGCTCGGCTCCAGGTTTCATGCTCTTCCTGCATAGGATGAGTCACCCCTGGGGAGCCCGAGCGGGGGCGGAGGGCTGCTTCTCACCAGTGGGTGCTGCTTCCAGGGGAAGGCCTTCAGGGGCCAGCACATGTGTCGGCTGCCAGCTCCCGGGACAGCGCAGTTGTCTAGGCGGCAGAGTGCCTTAATAAGCAGGACTCTGTCAGACTGGTGCACCAACCCTCAGGTCCGCTTCCTGCTCTGGTCATGCCTGTGTCCTTCTGCTTCCCTCCGCAGGGCAGAATGCGGACACATGTCCCTTGGGGTGAAGTAAGGCAGCATGTATACATTGTTGCTTCCTCCAGGTGGGGGTGACCCAGGTGGCCCCAGCCGCCTGTCCCTGTGAGCTGCTTTCAGGAAGCGCTTGGAGGAGCAGGAGGAAACACCACAAGGTTTTAGAGCCAGCGGGGGTCCAGGCCGCCCCAGGAAACCTTACCTGCCATTGGGGCCTGTGTCCTGTGTTCTGTGGTGGATCCCTGGGAATTCTGTGCTCTGATCAGGGTCTCCTGGTCCTTCTGTTCTGCTGTGAGCTCCGAGGCCCCTCATCTGTTCTGCCCTGCAGAGTTCCAGGCCCAGCAAGCTAATGTCTGAAACCCAGCATCCAGAGCGTCTCCAAACCTGTAACGTTTGGACACAGTGCCACAGGTGGAAACTGCCACCAACACAGCATTAAATGCAAGGTGCATAGGAGACGTAAGTGAATTCAATTCTATCCTTAAACATGGCTTCCAACCCTAATATGTCTACTTATGTGTGTGTGAATTTTTCAAAGTCTGAAAAAAATACCCCAAACCTAGCACACTGGGGGCTCAAGCACTCACTGCACCTGGATGAGGGGACCTGCCTCAACCCCTGCTTCTGCAGTGAGGAGGTGGTTGCTCTGCCTGCTCCCTCGGCCTGGTTCCCCCACGGCCAGCACTGGCAGAGCCCAACGCACCCCCCTCCCCCGCCCTTCCTGTCTGGACTTCACAGTGACTTTTGGTGGCAGAAGAGGTTGTCAGTGGGGAAATAAGTCAGGAGGATTAGATGGCAGCTGATGTCTCCTGCAGAGCCTGCAGTCCCGTTCCCTTCCCATGCATCTGGTCGCCTCTCCAGAGCCTGGCTTACAGGCAGTGCACCATAAATCCTGGTGCAATGAATGAGTGAATGAGCAGGGACCTGTTCCAGCAGAATGAGTTTGTGTTGTAGGCTGAAGCAGTCTCCAGGGAGCCCACTGCAGAGCCCCCAAGTGCTCTGCCCCTGCCCCAGTGGCTGCTGGAGGCGCTGTCTTCCCTGGCCTGCTCATGGATCTGGGGTGTCCGGCTTCTCTGCAGCAGCCCTGGGAAGGGGTTCTTGGAAGTGTGTGTGTGTGTGTGTGTGTGTGTGTGTGTGTGTGTGTGGTCTCTGGGTCTCAGCTGGGCTGTGCACACCGTGTTTGAAGGAGTGGCTGCGGCCCTGGGCTGAGCCGTGGAAGCCTGTGGGCTCCGGGTGTCTCAAGAACATGGGGCCAGGTGAGAGGGGCCTGTTGTACTGGAGAGCACTGGGGAGCTCACATTTCATGGCTTTAGAAACCCAGTGAGGAC